TTTCACTTCTGACATTTGCTCAATCCTCTATTCTTCCCTGATCAGGGCTCTGAATTTTTTCTATTTTGAAACAGGCTGAGGGTGGAAAGCTTTACTGTTTCTTGTAGTTTTGAGAGTTGAATAAGGTGGCGGATAGGAAGCTAGGATTCAGAAACTACTTGCAAATGACAATATTCACTGATTTAATTATGGGTTCCTTGAGACCCACTCCCTACCACCACTCTATATGATGATACAATGGATAGTGTGTTCCCCGAGTCTAAGATACAGTAATAGTAATGAGGAGAACAGAGAAAAGTAGAATTAAATGAGATAGACAAAAATTAAAAAAAAACACAAAACAACAAGAGAAAATGCTAAAGCAAAAATTAAATATATACATACCCCCACACACCAAAACAAACTGGAATAACAACAAAGCAAAACAAAACAAACAAAAACATCAGCATCAAAACAGAAAAATGAAACACACACATACACATCCCCAACCCAAAATGAAAGAAGAAAAAGAGAGAGAGAAAAAAAGAATTCAAACTGAACCCTCACACATATATTCATACACACATTGAACTAAAAAAAAGAACAAAAGAGAAAAAATAAACAAAAAAACCCTGAAAGATGAACACTCAATCCTTCACATACATGCATAAACAGAAAACAAAAAATGAAAGAAGAAAGAAAAAAAGGAGTGGGGGGGGATGCAGATCAAACCCCTCATATACACACATGCATGAAAGGAAAAATATATTTTTAAAAAACAAATTAACAAAGAAAAAACCCTGCCCTCTTGTGGCAGGTTCTGTAGTTGTTCCTCTCAGCTGTCCCTCTGCTGTCTCCTGCAGAACTTTGGCCTCATTCACAATCTCTCTAGTGTCCCACCCAGAGAAAGAGGAGGGGGCAATGGGGGTGATTGGGGCTTCAGTCTTCCCCTCCCACTCTAGTATGGTCAGAGGATCCCCTCTGGTAGGGAGGTACAGGATTGTCTCTTCCCCAGGTTCTGGCTGGGGGGCACCCCAGTCAGGCTTATCCTGGAGTGGAGTCCTCCTAGTGAGCTGACATCCAGGCCCTGCCTGGGTTCATCCCTCTCAGTCTCGCCCCAGCTGTGTGGGTCTGACATTCAGAGGATTACTGGGGAGGAGTGGGTTGGATCAACCCCAGACTCACCACTGATCTCTTTGGAGATCTTCCTCATCCTTTTCTGACCACACCCTTTGTCCTGTGGCTGAATCACGTTGGGAGTGGGGTGTCTCAGACTCAGTACTCATCCTGTTCCTCTGGAGTTTGTGCTCTTAGGTTATTCCCTTTGGGTCATAATCAACCTCTGAGTACTTTTCTTTTTTATTAAATCAATATTTTTTATTATGGTTTTGTGGGGTACAGTTAAGGGTTAGGTGTACAATTACATTTCATTCAGGCACCCTGTTGATAAGAGGTGTTTCCCCTTCCCCAGACAGATATTTGCTACTGTTAATCCCAACTCCCTCCCCCCCATAGTTTCCCAGTACCATCAGTCATTTTCTTATAGTATTACATTGGATGTTCAAGGTCCATTATATGAGTGAGAACATGTGATACTCGGATCTTTGTTTTCTGTGAGAGGTCACTCAGGAATTATAGACTCTAGTTCCATCCAGGTTGCTGCGAAATTCATGATTTTGTTCTTTTTTATGGTTGCGTAGTATTCCATCGTGTATATGTACCACATTTTTTC